AATTAAGATTGTTTTTATTTAAGAAAAGTATACTGTGTTTACTTAATGCATTGACCATAGTGTTTAATGGTAGTTGGTTTATTATAATGATTAGTTTTGTGTTATTTTTCTCTTTGATAAAAAAATCAATCATGGCCTACACTGAAGTACTTTGTTTTCAAATAGAATATCATTGTTAAACTAATAATATGATTTTAATATAAGTAAATCATGACTTTAAAGATTCATGATTCAGTGAGATCAGAAGGGAGATCAAAGTGTACTAGATCACTGGATGAGAACTTAGTCATCTAAAGGTCCTGGGTTTGGTCTGTGTTAGGGTCAAAACTGTACAGTACTGGTCATTTATAAAGCCGATAAGAAGCCCACAGAAAAATGGGTTTCAGGCTTGTTGGTGCTCAGTAGTATTACAGGTTGATCGCTTTTAGATTCACCGAGTAATAATGGTGTATTGAGATGGAAATCAAAGTAGGCCGAGTTTTTGTAAAAAAAGTGAAATGAATTTGAAACTCAGTGAACATAATCTTACAAATTAAATGTTCTTTTTATCTACATATGGAGGCTGATTGATTTGCTTGAATTGTTTTGTATCCAGAATTAGTTACAGATTGTTTTCATTTGGACTTCTCACCAGTGAGTACTCACAACTCAGCCAAGGGTTGAACTCAAAACCTTTGGATCTGATGGTGAGCGATTAACCGTTAGGACCACTGAGGTGATGTATTAGGGAACAATTCCAACTTCAATAAATTTCACCAATCTCATTGGTGACAACTTTCTTACCCTGGCACTCTTAAATGTCTCAATAGAGTTCTGGTAATGACCTCTCAAAGTTAATCATTAGTAAGAAAATGATGTGGTTACTTATCCTGAGTTTAATCCCTGGGAGGTCGTGAATATGAACTACTGACGAGTCACATACAAGGGCAAAAAGTTTGTCCAGTAATTTCAAGTTTCCAAAGTTGCATCAACTAAGATCAATTTTTTGCAAATGCAGCCCACTAGGCACACGTGCTAAATATAATTATATATATATATATATTTCAAAAAATGATACTCGAAAATTTATAGACAAAATCTTGAGTCATTGGTGAATACGGTGAAACCAAGACAGTTAATCTGATTAAACTACAAAACAAACTAATTTGAATTACCAACTTGCCTAAAATCTTTGAATTAAAAGTTATTTTTTTGTAGGGGGAGTTTAGTTGATTTTTCTTGTTTCTCTACTTACACCTTGGTGTTGTAAACGTATTCGAGTTTGTTTCATATATCATTGAATTCCCCAAGGTTTTATCACATCGACCAACTATTTTGTACTGCTTTAGTGATCATCAGGTATCTGTGACAGATTTAAATTTCTTTGGTTAATTCCTACTCTCCGTATAGACTTTTAGGTATGATGATAACTGTTATTTTGTGGTTATGCTCCGTTTTTCGTGTCTTCATTTGTCATATTTTTATATTTAATTGCATATACTTTGTACACACTTTTATCAATATAAATATCTAGATTATTCAAACAACTTCCTTCTGAATTTCTTCTGATAATTCGATATTCTTCAATAGTTCAATGTTTGTTTGTCAATGTCCTAATCAAAAGTTCTACATAATATTGTTTGATAGTGAAATCAATTTTGATAATGGACAATTGGAATATTTTCACAGATTGAAATCATGAGTCAGTTGAAGCTAGACCACCATTGAAAACCTGGAAGCACTGGACGGCCGTTTCGTCCTGGATGCCGGCTCAGTGGTCTAATGGTTAAGTGCTCGCGCGCGAAGCCAGTAGGTCCTGGGTTCGAGCCCCGGGTGGTGCGGGTTCGTGGATGCGCACTGCTGAGGAGTCCCATACCAGGACGAAACGGCCGTCCAGTGCTTCCAGGTTTTCAATGGTGGTCTAGCTTCAACTGACTCATGATTTCAATCTGTGAAAATTTCTAAAAATCTCCACAAAACACATTCTGATAATTTGAATATTCTTAGTAAAATGGCCTTGAAAAATTTCAAAAGTACCAATGGTTTTATCCCTTCTTTTTTAGTTAAACACAAGAAGTTATTTGAATACATATTTCTAGCTTAAAATTAACTTCATTTTTAAAGACCACATTATAAAGTGTTTACTACTTCAATAACCTGTTTGAACAAGTAAACCAGTGAAATATATGGATATATCTATATTCAATATAACTTTATTAACCGTATTATTATTATTATTGTTAGATAAGACGATTATATTTTAATGCTTTGGTTAACTATAAAACACCAATCTTAACAATTCATGATATATTACTCTGGAATACATATATATATATAAAGCTACAACTCAATCAGCTGAGAATCTGTAAGTGAAACTAGTAAATAAAAGGTAGATTACATTATATGCATCATAAAAGAAGCACATGACAATGATGATTCCATCAATAATTCAAGTATATTCTATTTAGTTTAAGAGTATTATTATTACAATTTCATGAATTAGTTATATGAATAAATCTACCATCTGATTACATAGATTACGAATTTTATTCATTAATACAGAACAAATGAAGTAATTCTTTCAAACAGCTCAATTCTAAATATCTAAAATCAGCAAAAAAAAAACGAAACGAATTTTCTAATTTTGTCATAATTTTCTTCAAATGAATCCCGTTTCTAACGAGTTGAGTGATGGTTAATCCATGTGCTATAAAAAGCTCAAAATTGCTTATCTATAATATAACTGTATTAAGATGGGAATGTGTCTATATTCTAGTTCAAGAGAATTTTGATTATATTTCAATGTCAGATATTTGAACAGTTTACACAAAATTCTCACTCATGACCCAAACTATTAATCCAAAGGCAAGGAAGACCATGTAACTATATAGTATTATTCTATATAACTCGGATGGAATGGCTTACAAAGTATTAAGTTGTCATTAGTTCACTCCACTGATACAATATTTAATATTAGTTGCTAATAGAAATGAATGATAAATATTAATAGTTTAAACTTGTGGTGTAAATCCAGCAACATTTTATTCTCGTTGTTGTTTATCTATGCGATGATGACCTTACAAAAAATAAACGATGCATATTTTCACCTCATAGTAACCTGATCAGGAAATCTAATGAATTATCACTAAATTACTAATCGAATTTAAGAACTGAACCATCAATTGTTAAGCTTTAGCATCAAACTCAACCTTGTTAATAGTCGAATACTATCCACTAAACTATAAGCTAAGAGTTATAAATTATTATTTAATCACTTAAATGAGTAATAGTTCTTAATTTCAGTTAGAAATTATGGTTCTAATTACTTAAACTTTACAAACTAATAACACACAAGTGTAGTGCACACAAAATATACTTCAATTTAAGTGATTGACAATAAAATCATAATATCACGTTACAAGGCCATGTTTTTTTCAAATTTTACACCTACATTGTTATTGATATTGATTTTTTTTCAAGGTGTTATACAGGTAGTGCATCATACAGTACACTATGACTAGAAAAATTAGAATTAAGTTTTAAATGGGGAATATTCACCAGGTTTTGATTTAAGATCAATTCCAGAATTGATAAAATGATTTAACTTGGTCGTTTAAGTTCTCGAATTTCAAATCTTAGATCATAAGGTAATTGATTCTACATCTCAAACAACTTCGGATAGAATAGTCTAATAATATTCCTGGATATTAACAAAATAGGTGTAAATCAGACCATAGTAAATATATGTGATTTTGACTATTGAATACCATCACGAAAGTTACTTCACTAACATTTAACTGAAATTGTTGTGTAGAAATTAAATCATTATTTGTACTTAAAAAAAAATGGAAACTTGGGTTGCATAAAAATAAATCAGGATAAATGTAGAAGTGTATACTCACTGTTAAATTATAAGTGTACTCAAGATTGTACATGTATATATCTTTTTTCAGTCTTTAAAGCTGATATCTCAGTCCTGTAGAATATATATATATATATACGTATGCAGGAGAAGAGAAACAATTAGGAAGCGCTTTTTCCCTCTATAGTTCATTTTCAATATGACAAATGTTTTTCGCACATCACAGAACACCTACTCACTATAATAATAATAGTCATTATTATTATTATCATAATGAGAGAATCTTGATTACATTTTGAGAAAGAAGACATTCAAAAAACACATACCACACGCATTGTGTTTAGTCTTTTCTATGAATTATGCAATATTAATGGGAATATAAGATGAAAAATGTGTAGTGATAATAATTTAGTAAAATCTAAGCCTCAACATAGAAAATATATAGACGAGTCACTTCACTATCAGGTTGATAAAGAACTCATGTGTCATTTGTCACTTATCCGATAACATTGTAAACAATACTGAATATTTATAGGGAACGGATGCTACAGAGATAGAGACTTTTTGTTGTATTCTTAATTAAAAAACTATTTGACTAGGTATTATGTATGAAGATTTAAATTACAGATATTATTTGTTGTAATACATAAGTTTGTTTGCCGAAGATAAAAAATTTTTGAAACATTTTGATGAAAATATAGTCATAATTCTAATAACAAAGTGAAATAAGAACTTATCAAGAATTGAAATTCTTTTTCAACCTAGTAGAAATGTAGCAAATATATCTGTATGTGGCGAGACTAATAATTTATGAACGAACCAATCAGGTATAAGATAACAGGTCTTCGATTTCGGCGCAAAATTCACTCATCCATTTGGCTAAATAAAGTTTTGGCATTATAGCTGATGTCAGTTTGTGATGAAAACTCTAGAACTAATTCCTAACTTTAACCATCAATTGTAAATCATAATTCTAATTCCTCACATAAGTTTATAACCTTCATTTGGTTCTAGTTATTAAGTGGACACTCTCAAAGTCACTTTAACATCTCTCAAAGGTCATGCATCAATTATAGTCTCACCCTGTATGTACATATTAAATATTATTCTTGTTAATAAGTAAGTAAGAATATATCTAGTCAAATAATCATAAACTTACTTATTTACTTAAAAGAGAAAAGAAACTCGATAGTTAATTTATCCAATTACGTAATATAACATGAAAGAAGTATGAATTGCATTAATAATTTGTAGTATAAATCCAATTGAAATTGTTCAACTTAATCTCAATAAAATTATACAAACAGTAAGTAACTAGAAATAAGAAATATGAAAGTATCATTGAAAAAGGTACCAATATTATCCATACTAACCAATCAAATGTGAACTAATCGTTGATTGGTTAACTTAGAAAAAACAAATTATAAAATCAATAATTAGAACATTTTTCGAGCACATTTTTGAAGGTTGATATTTAGTTTAATGACAAAATGAAAAAAAAAAACGATTATCATATAAAGTAACCTATGAAATATTGTTTCTTTTTTAACATTTTTATTATTTTATCCATATGTTGTGTGTATAGAACTAGAACTTAAATGATATTTGATTAGTTACAAGAAAAGAAATGATTTACACCATGAAGAAAAAATGATGGCGTTGATTGTTTTGTTTTGTTTTTGTTGTTGTTGTGAAATTCAATAGATGACGTACTAATTTACGTAAAATATAATTTTTAAGGTATACAATATAGAAAATGTAATCGAATTCATAAATGAATTCTTTTTATAGATAAACATATATGATATATTTTGATGAGTGAAGAAAGTCATATTCTGATAATGATAACGATGATAATGATGATAATGATGATGATGATGATGATGATGATGATGATGATGATGATGATGATGATGGTGATATCATTGTCTATAGTTGAGAATTCGAAATGAAAATGTTTTTTTATAATTTATATATGAGATAAGTTTTATATTTTGTTGTTGTTGTTGTCATTCCGATTGAGTATACAAGTTGATTCGTTTCAAGTATTTTAAAAGGGGGTATTACACGTTTACTACATTTTGAAGTGATTTGTAAAAGAAATAAAATGAATATCAAATTGACAGTTGAAAGTATACTTAATTACTATAAGATTATCATTTATTTAGGAATGAGTAAGGAGTTATCTTGTCGCTGGATCTTTTATATGACATAAACATTTTATTTTTGTTTATACAATTGTAAGTAGCTAATTAGCTGTTTGTATGTACGTCAAACGATAAGTGAACACAACAATATTATGGGGGAGACAGTTGGAAACAATGTTTCTAGGTGATTTTTTCTATTAATGTAATAAATTTTGAGAAGTGAGAAAAAACATGTGAAATCCTTGTGTTTTCACTGTTAACAGTCATCATATTATAGACCATGTGGAAGCAAAGATAACTGTTCGCTGAAATGTAGACTGAGATAAACTATATTATTCAATAAATAAATAATGTATTTTTAATATCCTAATCAGTAGAAAAATGAGATTTTCTGACGTTCCGTGACTCATTGTAAGCCACTTCTTCAGAGAATAAATAACGAAATCAAAATAACCCAGGTTTAAATAGTACAATGGTACAATAGTACAATGGTCCGATTGTTTCATATTATTTTTCTCTGTTAAGCTTGTTCCCTTTTATCTTTCATTTGTCTACTTGATCTCTTATTTTTGTATCTGAATGATTTTTTTAACACGTATAAGTGTGATCAAATTGTTTGGAATGTATTGCATCGATATATCGTATAGTTCTAATAATCTTCTTCCATATTATTACATTATCGAAATTTATTAAAGGGACGAATTGATTTAAATACTTAAATGAAGTTAGTCAATGACACAAACTATGAAAGTGAACGGTGCTAAAAGACGAGAAAATATTATCTAGCCTATGATGTTCACCATCTTTTAGGAATTACATTCGTTAGGTATATTGAGCGAAGATAGATATATAGATTGATAGGTATCATTATCATAGTTTGACTGGGTAATTTCGAATATAATGAGCATTGAGTAGATTGATATAAATAAATTAATATACTTTCAATATCCCAATGAGCAGGAAAATTAGATTTTCTGATGTTTTGTGACTCAATGTAAGCCACTTCTTTAGAGAATAAATAACCAAATCAAAATTAATCCAACTTGAAATAGTACAACGGAACCATTGTGCTATAGTAACGTTGTACTATTTAAACTTGGATTGATTTTGGTTTGATTACTTATTCGCTGAAGAAGTGGCTTACACTAAGTCACGAAATGTCAGAAATACAATCTTCTACTCATTGGGATATAATAAAAATATATTTATTATTAACATTCTATCCAGTGCTCAATTTATTTGGAACTATTGAAGAGGTAACTAGTTATCATCATTACTTTACACTTAGATTGTTTGTCATACAATAATAAAAGATATACAGAATGGGTTTTGTGGAGAGTTTTAGAAATTTTCACAGGTTGAAATCATGAGTCAGTTGAAGCTAGACCACCATGGAAAACCTGGAAGCACTGGACGGCCGTTTCATCCTGGTATGGGACTCCTCAGCAGTGCGCATCCACGATCCCGCACCACGCGGGGCTCGAACCCAGGACCTACTGGCTTCGCGCGCGAGCACTTAACCACTAGACCACTGAGCCGGCATCCAACGGTGTTAATGTCTAAGTGCTCGCGCGCGAAGCCAGTAGGTCCTGGGTTCGAGCCCCGCGTGGTGCGGGATCGTGGATGCGCACTGCTGAGGAGTCCCATACCAGGACGAAACGGCCGTCCAGTGCTTCCAGGTTTTCAATGGTGGTCTAGCTTCAACTGACTCATGATTTCAACCTGTGAAAAGATATACAGTCATGTTGATTTCAAATCGTGCAGAGCAATGAGAAGTCCTGGATCATTAGGAGTAAACACACTGAATAATTGACAGGCTCACTGATCACAACATCAAATAATTTTTGATAATCTTATTACAGTTTAGATCAAGTATGAACTTTAGACGACTAACTTGACTCCAACCTCTTCACGATGAAATTTAAAATTATTTGAATGAAGACGTCTACCAGAAGCAACAACATAGTGATCAATAAATTCTACTGAATGATGTAAAAGTTCGGTACAGAGACTAGTTAATTGTAATCGACAAAAGTTTTTTTTTTTTGCATAATTCAAATATGAATGATTGTTTTTGACTGAAATCTTGAACCGATTGGTATGAGACCACCGTTGGAAACCTGGATACACTGGACGGCCGTTTCGTCCTATTGAGGGACTCCTAAGCAATCCACAACCCCTATACTGATAACTGTCATGTGCTCAATAGTGACAAGCTTCGTGAGGGAATTCTCGGAGTTCTAGTGAGAAATCGTGATCAGCGGAGCTAATTCATGTCGGGTAGAGACAGGTATCTATCTCAGTACAATGGAAGTTGGTCGCACAATTTTGCGGATTGGTTGAGGTTAAACATTAACACCATTGGATATGGGCTCAGTGGTCCAGTAGGTTAGGCATTCGATCGCGAAACCGCAGGCCCTGGGTTCGAATCCCGTGAGCGGGATCACGGATGCGCACCTCTGAGGAGTTCCATAATAGGACGGAACGGCCACCTGGTGCTTCCAGTTTTCCAATGGTGGTCTAACATCAATCGGTTCATGATCCCAATCAAAAATTTAATGATTGCCACAACCTCTATTTGGTATGAATGATTGTTTTTCATGTATCACATAAGAATTTCAGTAGAAATAACTCTACTTGTTGCTCAAAACATATCAAATTATTGGGGGAAATCGGCAATAAAATTGACAGCAAATCAAATGCTGTTTATGGGATAGCATGTAGCAATGCTTACATTCTGCCATGTATTTTGTTCATAACACATGTAGTGTCAGTTATAATGTTAAGTCCATATACCTTATTCTAGCTTTCGGACATTCCATTCTATTCATTCTACTTGAGTCATATGTTGATCTTGTTAGTTATTCGCTTACCAATTTAGACTGCTTTTTTATATGAGCGCATATGTGCGTGCTCTTCTTATCCCATTAATCACATGTCTGTAGTTTATTTTGTCTGACTATAAGTATTGAGTCTCGTTTCATCAAAATCGGAGTTAGCTTCCCAGCCACCTTCCCTGCGTGTCATTTTGCTGTGTTCTGTTTCATTCGATTCATGTACAAAATATGTGTATTCTCAAGTCAATTCTCGTTATTCGACTTATTTAATTCCGTTATTGACTAACGCGATTCAAGTCGACGATGATATACGAGAATGGGCGATAGCAAACATTTGTACGATCTTAAATGGAGTCAAATACTAGGGCCACTAAACACACACCAAGCAATTTTAATTTTAATTTACTTGACTTATCGTAAACTCATAAAAGGTTGATTTATTCATGGCTCATGAATTAACGATAAACGAGCTGGAAAACCAGGAATGTTATCATAGATAACGAATTCCATATGGCATATCTCCGTATAAAAACGAGGACAACCATGGTGCCACTAGAACTCAATTTCTTCAATGCTTCACACATTGCATTAATGAAAATTTTGTATGTGATGATTTCTTTGAATAGAACTGTCTATGGAATTGTCTAGGAAAATTCAGAAACACATTTACAATCGGAATATATTCTCATTCAGATGAATGAAGTTATCTGATGATATCTGTATAATATTGAGATAAGAGAACTGAGAATAAGCGTTGAAAAACTGACCTTTGAAAAAGTCAATTCATTAATTAATCTCTGTTTTATATTAACACATGGAAAGCAGTTGTTAGTTTGTGGCAGCATTTTGGTCGATTCATTTATCAGGAATGCTATCACAATGCAAGATAAATAAAAATCGTCAGTTTCCAACGCTATATTTGCGTTGTTATTTAGATCACATGATCATTTTTCATATTTTTAACCACAAAATACCAACATGATAAATCAGATCTGTCATATACAATGTGCAATTTTTTAGATATCAATTGTGGGAGTACTAACAGAATTTACTAAGACGGTTGAGTTCATCATAAATTGGTTTTAGGCAGAAAATCTTTAGAGAATGATGCTTCTTAGTACAGGATTTTCCGGAACTTTAAATGACGTCGTAAGAAATTGAGACCAGTGGTACAAGCGTTTGTGGAGAAACCTTTACCTGTAGACAATTGGATTAAAATCCATCCACTCATATTTCTAAGATCAATGAATTTCCTGATTTTGTGCGGCCATCATCTATTACTTGTTTAGAAAGGGTATAATTAAGCCTAATAGCCATGTCTTAACTTCAAAGGTTTATGAATGACCCACAAAATTCACATATCTCTATAATTAGTGTTTTAAAATAATAAATCATGTTCACCTTGTGATATACATTTTCGTGCTTGATCTCACCTTGATCAACTTTGTCCTACCACTTTCGTTCACGGGTTATGGAATCGTCTCAGATGGTTGGTTATGTGTGGATTATTTCGAAGGAATAGGCATGTAATTTTGTGATCAATGATTGTCGTGAAAATGAATTTTATAAAATACTGATGAAGCTACTAACTCTTTTTCCTACGGATACAGGCATACTTATTTAGCCTTTAGGATTGGCCAAATCGTTTAAGTTACGTTTCAATGTGGCCTCAATATCACGTGCACTGTTTTTTAATATGGTGGAAAAAGTTAGATTACATTGATTAGAAATTACGGAGATTACATAGTTTTCCAAAGGTTCTCCTAATAGTCCTTACATATAACCGAAATTAGATTAGAATTCGCCACCTATTTACCTCTATGTGATGCGTGGTAACTGAAACTATTGGCTACAGTGCAACTTATTAGGTTAAATTCAATGAGTGAGAAACACAGACGAGCGTGAAATGGGTTATTACACAGGGATGTACTTTTGCAGATTTATTTTTGGTAACAAACGTATGATCATTCTGCGGGATAACATCATGAAGTCCGTTATATAAGTTTATAATTATTGGAGAAATCTGTCATCACCAATCATTGTTCTTAAGCTTGCTACATGATGGAACCACTTGGTACTGTTCTGACAACATCACTGTAGGTACAGTATCTCATTGAACCACAAATTCTGACTTTTTTAAAATAAAATGTTCAGTTTTATTAAATAGTTACCAAGCCATTTGAATGTT